ATAAATTATTAAAAGTCGAAGCTGTCCCCCCATGGTAGAGGGTTGAAAAGAAAAGGAGATGGTTACTGGCAATTATTAGGGTGGCATGGTTTGACCGCATTAAGATGGTTTGTTAAAATAGAAGACAAGTGCCGGCTGGATAGAGGCAGCCAGGCCTGCAGTAACATGGTAGTGGAATGATGAAATGGAAAGTGATAAAAAGAAAAAGTGATGCGGGATCTGGAATATGGGTGGTGATAAAGAAAAGTAACTGGAGAGAACCTCTGGTCAGAAGAGAGATTTTGAAGGCTAAGAAACAAGAAAGGATGCATTTGCAGATAAGCTGAGTATTGCAGTACAGATGTAGAAGGAATACGAGCAATAATTGGGTTAATCAAGGGTGTGCATGGTTGGAATTGTGTGTGAGAATAATGATAGTGGGATATCAAGGATGCTTGGAGAATATATACTACTGTTGCCTGCTTTGAATGTGGAGGTTAAGACTTGGTTGAGGCAAACTTTCGACAAACAAACCAATACTGTGGTATTATCATAACAACGGATGCATTTTAGTACTGAAAGGGATCATTATGCCATTATATACAGTATACAGGGGGTCCCAGACTTACAAACATCAGACTAATGAACGCCCACCAATACGAACAGGGTTAAACTTTAAACTTACAGTATTTTATTTACCTGATGACTTATTCTTTACTTTCCTTTACTGCATTTTGTCATTCTATTTCTTCTTTTCTCTTAAATTAAGTGAATTTAGATGTTCTGTATACAAGGACTTGTGCGATGATATAGTGGGATTTTAAACATTGTTCTGTAATTATTGTATGCACATAGCATGTTTCAACTTAAGTACATTTTTTACTTAAGAACGTCCCCAGGAACGGAACCCGTTCGTAACTCAGGAATCCCCCTATGGCAATGAGTTCCAAAACCATTACATTTACCTATGGGTGACATGAAGGCTTCATATGGGCACTGGGGGCAAATACTCAAAATACCTCGAAAGTTACACACTCGACAATCTTAAAACAGACTTATGGTATTCAAACTTAGACACAATAAATTTAAATTCTGCATGAAAAGGTGTTTTTGACCCAAAATCCCAAAAAGGGTTAAGGCTTACTATTTCGGCTATAATCTTGATCTCACCAATTTTGTTCAAAATCTCAATACAACAATTCATCCATCAACATAGTTTCAGTCAACGTCGTTTCGTTATACATCGTTGAAATTTTTTTTAAGTATGTATGAAAATGGCAAATGTAGGAAAATTTAAAAAATTTAGTACGAAGATGCTCAGCGCCTGATTGAGATAACAGCCCCCTGTAAGCGACCAGTGTGGGCGCCGTATGTTATTGTTTGGTGGTTGGTTGAAGCTCTTCCAACATTCACTTAAAATCCAAATACAAACTTATTTGAGTCCTAGAACAATGATGGCTAAACGTACATTCTGCACCACTACTGTTTGTGTTACATTAGAAGTCAAATTAGATGTGGTAAAGAGATTTGAAGGACACTGAACTGTAGACATGGCAAGAGTTGTCGGTTTGCAGCCTACAACTGTAGGTAAGAACAATTTGTGGAAATGCAGAAAATATCAAATCATGTGCTAAAAGTGTTACCCCATTATCCGATACAAAGTTAACTTGTAACAGAAGTGGCATGTTCATTGCTCTCCATACAGGCAAAAACTCTAAGTTTATTATAAACTTTAAAACAAGAAGAAGGTGATAGTGCTGTGAGACATTTGTGGCAAGTTGTGAGAAAATTTTGACCAGAAATGTACCCAAGGAACATAACCCCTATTTATATCATTGTGTCTGTGGCAAAATCGTTTTCAATTAACGTCATTAACGTCGCCCAGGGCCTGGGCGACGTTCCAGAACATCCGACCAGCGCGCCCCGGATGACGTTCCAGAATGCTCGCCTATTCCCGCCACTGTTTAAATGCCCAGTGCAGGTTATCAGGTTCCAGTGTAGCTATTTGCCTGTCATGCCACATGCTCAGCCACAGAGAAGCTTCCTGAACATAATTACCTACTTTTGATTTGTTTCATTTTCATTGATTGTCCATTTTATCATGCTGTATCAAAGTAATATTGCTAAAAGTAGTGTACAGCTCCTCCCCAACTTACGACGGGGTTAGGGACCCAAATCCAGGTCGTAAATCGAAATGTTCTTAAGTCGAAAATGCTTAAATAATAAGTCTCCTCTAGATCCCTCAATTCTGCATGGAAAGCACTGTGGCCATCAGTAGTCCATGATTTTGAGGGATTTGAGGAAGAAGCGGAGTTGGACCAGGAGATTGTGTCCATTGGTCAGTCATTGGGCCTTGAAGTGGAGGAGGTTGATGTGGAAGAGCTTGTGATGTCTCATGAGCAGGAACTTACTCCTAAAGACTTGCAGCAACTGGATGAGATGTTAGAGGCTGACAGTGGTGAGGAGGAAAAGGAAAGTGATGACCATATGTCAACTTCAGATTTGAAAGATGTTGTTCACTACTGGGAGAAGTTCAGGAAACTGGCTTCAAGGCACCCTAATGTGGAAAAAGCAGAACTTGCTTTGTGTAATGTTGAGGACACAGTGGTCTCCTACAAACACCAGTTAATGGTGAGGAGAGATGCCCCACAAAAAAAAAATTACATTTTTTTCACTAAAAGGCACCGGGAAAAAGATGCTACCCCTCAGCCTTCCACTTCAAGAAGGAGAGAGGATGTTCCTGCTGGAGAATCTGTCAGTCCAGAGGTTCCTGACATTTTCATGGAAGGTGACTCACCTTCCAAGAAGCAGTAAAATGCTTCTCCTCCACCCCCACTTCCTTCTCTTCTCCCTTCTCCTCCTCCACCTCCCACTTCAAATTCGTATCAGCATCATCATCCAGGAGCCTTCTACATACACACCTCAAAGTAAGTGTACTTTACTACCTTTTTTGTTGAATTTATGCAAGTTTTCGGTGAGCTGGAACCAATTACCCAAAAACCCATTGAAACAATGGTTTCGGTTAACGAGCAACCTTCTAGAAAGAATTGTGCTCGTTAACCGAGGGACCACTGTACTGTATAGCGATTTTTTTTTTGGCGAGGGAAATGGGCAGGAAATATTTCAAATTCATCACGACTACCAAAATTATCGAAATTTTCCAAAACAGGTATATAGCGATAAATTTATTTCCAGTAGACTCACAACTTACGTGGGGTTATGTTCCTGGGACCTCACATATTTTTTTTTTTTTTTACTGGGATTAGCCCACCCGGGCACAGGTCACTGACCCACATTGGGGCCTGGGGGGCAAAAATGTAATAATAATAATAATATTAATAATAATAATAATATTAATAATAATATTAATAATAATAATAATAATAATAATAATAATAATAATAATAATAATAATAATAAATAATAGTCATAATAATTCATAATAAATAAAACTTATGATAAAACAAACAAAAATAAAATAATAAAATAATGATGATAATAATACAGTAACTGTAATAATAATTTTAATAATAAAGAACTATAAATACAAAAATGAAAAAAAGATCAAAAGTGAGAAACGATATATGTATGTTGTGTTGTCAATGGTAAGAGAAACAATTGAGACCCTGCAATTGTGTGTAAATGAAGCAGAAAGTCAGATCAGCAACCTGGGACTTGGTCACAATTTTCGTGATGCCATATGGCAGCAGGGTCTACCATTAGACAACACATTATACTTCCAATATCTTCCCAGACGGTAGTACCTCCCTGTTTGGGAGCTGCCTACTACCTACTACCTATATAGTGTCACCTCTGAGCTGAATATAATCGTCTGGCTTCAGCCAAATAAAATATCAAAAGTGTTGTCCTCATAGTGAATAAATTATGGGTTAAGAGGACAGCTGTATATTGAAAGGTTTTGTTAGAGGAAGGCTGAAATGGTGTAGGAACGTGTGAAGAGTGGAGGCAACCAAGTGGGCAAATAGATGCAGGGGAGAGGAGATCAGGGTAGGGGACAAATATCATGGGGAGAGGTTGAGAGAGATGAATAACTTTTAACCAAGGCAAGCTCGGAAAATGGCTAAGTTAGATATATACAATTTCTTGCTTTCAGAGAAAAATGATAGAAGCAAAATCCCTTCTAAATATTCAAATTACTAAACAAACCTACCAGTAAGAATCAATAACACTTAAAAATTTAATAAATTACTTCATATGATGCTAAAACACAATTAAGATGTAACTCATGTAGAAAGTGCTGGGGATCAAGCTTTATATTTTTAATCAGTCACACTGGTAATTAATTGTTTGAGAGTCTGCATGTTACTGGGTGTATGTTACATGCATACCTACATGTACCTAGAAGTGTTTTATATACATTTAGTGTACTGTACTTACGCTTCTAGTCGAATCTGGTAACCAATGCTCTTGCCTAATTTCTCACCACGTTCATCAGCAACACGCTGTGCAACAGAAATGGCAGAAATACGTCTGGGTTGCGTACAAACAATGTGGCATGTAGATCCATGGCCATCGGCAATAGCGTCTTCCAAAATAAATTGAGCTACTTGAGTAGTTTTTCCACAACCTAAAAATAAACAAAGCAAAATTGGAACACTCAACAAAATACATTGTGCTGTAAGCTTCCTTTTTACCAATTCAAAATACTGTATCCCTGTTAGTACACTCAGGGGTTGATCCAGAGGAGGTGGGGCGGGGGTGGGGGGCCTGCTGAGAGTCTGGGAGCATGCTAAAGAAAGCATCAAGTAGGCCATCATCCCTGGACTATAACTCAGTGTGTACACTGACATGTAGTAATTCTGCATTTTTCATATTTATATAACAGTATTGTTCTCTATTTGCTTTTGTTATTACTGTTTCTTTGCCTACAATTTTAGATTTTAATGTTACAGTAAGATACTTTTAGGGGTAAATCTAGTGATCTGAACAGAGGCTAATGCATATATTTATGGATAAAATATCATGAAATTATTCTTTTTTTCAATAATCAGGCATTTTAAGAATATAACTTAATGGGAGCGTCCAGCTTATGTTCGAAATTCATTAATAAAATAATTAATCAATCAATATAAATTTTCTGTCAGCAATTAAGGACACCAGATACATTGTTACTCTACCCCAGCATCGGTTCTGCCTAATCCCTAATTTTTCTCTTATATTCTTATCAATTTTCAAAATCCTACTTCTCCAAAAGTTCTTGCTAGATTATTTTGAAATTCATGTCGAGAATAGGTAATTTACTCCTCTTGAACGTGACATACTGTATACTGTAGATGTTTTTGATAATCACTTTTGTTTTGGGTGCATGAATTGTTTTCCAAACTTACCATTTTTTCTTCCAAATATTTATAAAAATAAATAAGCAAATAATAAACCAAGCCATATATAAAGATAATCTATATGCTAAGCCCTGCATAATATGTTATTCTACTACAGTAATATCTCCATTAGCGGGAATCTCTCAATCCCGGAACTCTCCAATAGCCAGAATTTAAATTTACTCAGAATTTTTCCGGAAAATTCTCTCAATTCCGGGTTTGGGAACAAATTCTAAGATTGAAAATCAGGTGCATTTTCTGACAATTCCAAGAAAAATTCTGGAAAATCTTAAAATATTTTATTTCTGGGTCTGGGAATAAAATTTCAGGGCATTCCAAAAGATTGGATCATGCTCCAAACCATCCCCACATGACGCATGGGTGGCCCAGCTGCTTAGATCGCTTAGTTCATATTCTGCTGCCATTGTAGAAGGTTGATTCCTTGATAGCTGCTGTTTTTGTGTACAATTTGTGTTGTGTAGTGCTGTACATTATTGAACCACAACAAAATCAGTCAAGAATTCAGTATTAAGCATGTAAAAAGTGAAAGTGATTACAGTTACGTATACAGTGGTCCCTCGGTTAACGAACACAATTCGTTCCAGAGGGTCGTTCGTTAACCGAAACCATTGTTTCAATGGGATATTGGGTAATTGGTTCCAGCTAACAGAAAAGTATATACAAAGTAAAGCCAAAAATGCATAAAGTCAGAAACACTCCTAAAATTCCCCTAAATCGCCCTTAAATCAATATACAGTCGACCCTCGTTAATTCGGACTAATAGGGGGGAGGAGGGTGTCCGTTTTATCCGATTGTCCGAATTAACCGATTTAGGGGTTAATATCGCATTATATTTCAAAGTCATTGTTTTCGTCACGATTTTATCCCACTTTCCACTGTAATACGTAAGTAATTTCAGCAAAAATATTACATTTCCGTGAATGTATTATATCAAGCACAGTATGAATAGAATATCATTGTAATATAACAGTATTTTAACTGAAAACTATTAAAAAAAACGAGTAACATCTCAAGAACAGAAGCTTAGGTAAAGTCTTTTGTTTTCGTCATGTATTTTATCCTATTTTACATTGAAATACATCACGTTTCAGCAAAACTACTATTTATTTCCGAGAATATATTCATTCAGGCGCAGTTTAGGTAAAATATACTGTATGTGTGATGTAACAGTTTTTTAACTGAAAACGATTCGAAAAACACGTACCCTCTAGCCCTGTTCAAGGAGAGGACTGGGAGAAGCTGTTTGGTGCTGCAGACGATGACAAGGAAAATGATTTGGATGGATTTTAATAAAAATATTCAGAAATATGGTATCGTAGTATTTATTCAAGTCAATTTGGATAGAATATTATTGTAATACAACGGTTTTTTAACTGAAAACCAATCGAAAAGCGATTACGGTAACATCTTTTGAACGAACGAAAGCGAAAGTCATTGTTTTCGTCACAATTTTATCGCACTTTCCACTGTAATACGTATGTAATTTCAGCAAAAATATTACATTTCCGTGAATGTATTATATCAAGCACAGTATGAATAGAATACCATTGTAATATAACAGTATCTTAACCGAAAACTATTAAAAAAAACGAGTAACATCTCTTGAACATCGGAAGGTTAGATAAAGTCTTTTGTTTTCGTCATGTATTTTATCCTATTTTACATTGAAATACATCACGTTTCAGCAAAACTACTATTTATTTCAGAGAATATATTCATTCAAGCACAGTTAAGGTAAAATATACATGTGATGTAACAGTTTTTTAACTGAAAACGATTTGAAAAACACGTGTACCGTGATACTCAACAGCTGGTGGTGCGTCGTGCATCGTTGTAAACAATATGAGGTTGAGGTGGATTACCGGGTATTATAGTAAGTGCGAAATAACGAAAAGGTTTTTATTACCGGTATTTTTTGTAGATCAATGAGAACTGTGATACCGTAAATGATATGATAAGTTAGCCTGTGCTAAGAACTTCAACATAGACTACTGAAAGCACGTTGTAAGGTAATTTAGCCTAATGTAAGTTGGTGAGCATTTGCTGAAGGAACTGCACAGCTTTTCATTACTAATTGGTACATATTTTATGTTTCCATTGTTTACTGGCAGTAAATGGTAAATATTTTTCATGTCTGAAGCTAAAAGTTGCTCCTCGCCCTTCCCATCATGCACGGATTCAACCTAACAAAACTATTACCCATGTAGAGGTCGACCCCCAATTTCTTGCCTAAAAATTTGGTCTCAAAAACTCGAACTACACACGAATATATACGGTATGTACTTTTCTGTGAGCTGGAACCAATTACCCAATATCCCATTGAAATAATGGATTCAGTTAACGAAATTTTCGGTTAACGAACGACTCTGTGGAACGAATTGTGTTTGTTAACCGAGGGACCACTGTGTATATACACTAGAACTCTTAAATCACTACAGGTGATTAATTTTTATCTTTTGTGCAAAATATATGACTTATGTTCAAATTATTCACTGCCTTGCAAGGATTCCAGCAATGCAAATTATATTCTCCTAACTTCTTAGTCTGTGATATCATTTAAGATAAAAACTGTAAGCCAAAAACCCTGGCTGGGCAGATGGGGGAGAGGGAGGGAGGGAGGGAGGGAGGGAGGGAGGTGAGGTGATATGTTTGGCAGTTGGCACCGAAGGTCTGTCTGTTTATTCATCAGTCCTTAAGAGTGACTAGGCTTTTCTCTTATTATTTGCCACCGAAACCACCGGAGAGAATATAATTTACATTGCTGGGATTCTTGTAAGATAGTGATTAATTTGAATATGAATAAGCTATAATTTGCACTTGACAAAAATTTTAATACCCTAATCATTTAGTAAATGTACACTCCAGCTTTGCACTTAGGTCATTTATTTCTTTTACGTTTCTTTTAGTATGGTGTGTGCATGTAAATGAATAAAAATAAATGAAGAAATTTATGTAAATCTACCCAAAAATACAGTTGAAAAATGTTTACATTATTAAATGTACTAATTTACTAAAGTTTTTATCTCTTGTGCAAAATATATGACGTTTATATTCAAATTATTCACTGTCTTGCAAGGATTCCAGCAATGCAAATTATGTTCTCCTAACTTTAGACTGTGATATTATATAAGATAAAAACTGTAAGCCACCAAACCTTAGAGGGGGGGAGGAAGGGTAGGTGACAGGGACATGTTTGCCAGTTGGCACCATCGAAGGTCTAGTGAAGTATTTATTTGTTTATTTATGTCCTTTAGATTGAGTTTTTGTTTTTTGCTTATAAAATATCATAGAAGTGACCGGGGAAAATATAATTTACATTGCTGGAATTCTTATAATATAGTGATTAATTTTAATATAAACGTCATATATTGTGTACAAGAGATAAAAATTTTAGTACATAGTACATTTTAATAATATACAGTCAACCCTCACTTTACGCGGTCCCACATTCCGCGTTTCAAACGTTTAAGCGGTGCCCTGCCGGAACCTAACATGCTCACATTCCGCGGTGCGTGTACCCCATTACGCGGAGAGCGACTGGCGAGCCGCGCCATTTTTGGATCCAAACCTCCCGCCATCCGCCATGTTGTGTAAGCGGCGCGAACATGGTGCGCACAAGGTCGCCCAGTCATCAAAACATTACCAGTTCTTCACCCGCCACCCACTACAGCCGGCCCAAGTCAGTGATAGTGATAATTATAGTGAGGATATCGACTTATATGGACTTGGGGGGTTTGACAAAGAGGCCCTGTAAGCCTCTGTGGTGGATAGTGATACAATTGATACACGTGATACAGGTGAGGGCCAATAATCTGCCCTCTGCCTCGGAACCAACCGCCCATCCCCGTGTGCCCAGCCATCTTTTCTACTAATGTAAGTGTTAAAAAACCTAATATTATTGATATTTCTCTTAATTATTAATTGTGTGTGCATGCCATCATAAAGTTAAGATAATATTTTTACTACAACATAGTTGTGTGTCGTCAAAAAGTGGAGTTTGGGGGTCGGCCTGGACTCTATTTCAATTAATCCCAAATGTTATGTTATTCACTTTACGTGTTCCTCACTTTCCGCGGCACCCTGTGGGTTACATTAACCGCGTAAAGTGAGGGTTGACTGTACAATTTTTTCAACTGTATCTTTGGGTAGATTTACATAAATTTCTGGGTGTCTCTTTTTCTTCTCAGCACCGAGAACTCTCACTTTTACGCTTGCCAGCCATTTTAAAGGGAATTATAAACGAAATTTTGTCAGTACACAGCGCAATCACTAACGTTGGGACTCGAAAATACGTAATTTTTTTTTTTTTTTGTATGACTGAGGCGGTCGTCTGTTAGGGTGGTCGAGTATGTCGTAAGTCGAGGAGTGGTTGTACTGTATTTATGGTGTTTTTTATATCATTATTTACCGTTTTAATACATTTAGTACATTCACCGGAAGATTTGGACAATCAGCTTTTTTGGACAGGTGGTCCCCTCTTTTAGTCCGGATCTTTGAGGTTTCAAAATCCAAAAATATCCCAAATCCGAATGCCTTAAGGCATGAAGCATTTCTGATAAAGAATTCCCAACCTGTATAGTATATACATTATATACCTTTGTTCATGACAATATTTTGAAATTTTCAAGCAAATTACTTTTTATTACAAAATGAGAACATATTTACAGAAGAATTTGTCCTAATTCAAATACAGTACATTATACTCTCAATTTAACAGAAGGAATTTTTTCCATTATTTTTCACTCTATTTAGCGAACTAAATCGCTAAATTGAGATTACAGTGGGGTATGCTATAACGAACGAATCCTACTACGAATATTCCAGTAACGAACGGTTTTACCTATAAAATTGAGAATGCTATAATGAACGAAACTCCTACAACGAACATTATTTAAATTTTTTTTTTGTTCTAATTTATTGTTTTTTTTTATTACAAATATTAATGATATTCTTTATTTCAGGGGTTTAGATGCATATTTATGCACTTTTTTTAAATTTTTGCAATTTTATATTATATTTTTCAGTGTTAAGTGGTTGTATTTGGGGGCCTGGAACGGATTAATCCTATAACGAACGAATGCTATAACGAACAAGGTTCTAGAACCAATTAGATTCGTTATAGCATACCCCACTGTAATTCCATTAATACAATCACAAGTACAGAGACACCTCAGATACATGATATGTACAGTGGGGTATGCTATAACAAACGTAATTGGTTCCAGAACCTCTTTCGTTATAGGATTAATCCGTTCCAGGGCCCCAAACACAACCACTTAACACTGTAAAAATTCTGTGGAAAATGTAAAAAATACGGTACTTTATCTTACCTTAGTGTTGTTCAGCATGCAGGACAGGAGGCAGAGGGGGGGGGGAGAATTATGGAGAAGAAGTGGAAGGAGAGGAGTCATCCTTCCCAGCCCTCTTTGGTGACTGTCTCACAGGCACTTTGTTTGTAGGTTCTTTTGTTACCTTTGTAAAGAAGGAATCCAGGGTTGGCTGCTTCAACCTTGATTTCTGGACCTTCCAAAAGTAGTTCATAACATTGTCATTGAACACACTGATGGCCTTTTGCACAGAACCAACATCAGGATGATAATCCTCAGAGAGCTTGGGCAGTTTGCTCCAGCAAAAGAACGCATCCTTGAGATCTTTGGCTGGAATGATGCGGCTTTCCTCCTTGTCCTCCTCCTCCCCTGACTCCTCAGAAGTTAAGCTCCGCTTCAGTGTCTCGTTTTCCTCTTTGTGAAGCTCAAGCAGCTCCTCAGTGGACAGTTCCTTACTGTGCTCTTCCACCAACTCCTCAACATCATCATCATCCACTTCCAGGCCCATGGAGTTGCCCAGAGACAATTTCATGAACAACAGCCTCTTCTTCTAACTCTTCGAAGCCTTCAAAGTCTCTTTGAAGGACACATTCAGGCCACAATGGCCTCCAAGCAGCACAAAGACACCTCACAGTAACCTCTTTCCAGGCTGAGGTAATTAAAAATACAGCATCTGCTATATTGAAGTGACTCTTCCAAAATTCCTTCAAGCTAACATCACTGGAAGAAGTGGATGCAAAACATTTTCTAAACAGTGCCTTTGTGTACAGCTTCTTAAAGTTAGAAATTACCTGTTGATCCATGGGCTGGATGAGAGGTGTTGTGTTGGGTGGCAAGAAGTGCACAGTGATGAAGTTCAACTCCTCTGGCAATTCAACCATCAAATTAGGAGGGTGGGCTGGTGCATTGTCCATCACCAACAAAGCTTTCAGTGGAAGATTATTCTCCCTGAGGTATTCCCGAACACTGGGTCCAAACACCTCAATCACCCACTCAGAGAATAAATTCCTGGTCACCCAAGCCTTTGGGTTTGACCGCCACATAACACCAAGGCGGGTCTTCCTAATTTTTTTGAAAGCTCTGGGGTTTTCTGCGTGGTACACAAGGAGTGGCTTTATTTTGCAGTCACCAGAAGCATTAGCACAAGGAAGGAGGGTAAGCCTGTCTTTCATTGGCTTATGGCCAGGGACAGAAGTTTCCCCCTTGGTAATGTATGTACGGCGAGGCATTTTTTCCAAAAAAGTCCAGTTTCATCACAGTTGAATACCTGCTGAGAAACAAAGCCTCCCTCTTTAATAACATTAAAAAAAATGTCATGGTGTTCCTTAGCTGCTTCCTTATCTGCACTAGCAGCATCACCATGTCTCACAACACTGTAATTTATTTCTCCTTCTGAAACCAGTAAACCACCCCTTGGTACCCCTAAACACTGGCACATCACTATCACTTCCACTGGGAGTCTTGGCTTTAAGGTCCTCAAACAATTGTCTGGCCTTCTCACAAATTATAGCTTCACTAATGCTATCACCTGCCATTTCTTTCTCCTTTATCCACACTAAGAGTAAATTTTCCATCTCCTCAATCACATTACACCTTGCTTTGCTAAGTCTAGAGATTCCCTTAGCCACTTGCACTGTTTTCAACTCCTCTTTATTCTTTAAAATCGTACATATAGTCGATTTAGCCATCCCATACTCATCACTAAGTTTCGCAATGCTTGTTCCATCCTCACGTTTCTTTATGATTTCTTTCTTAGTTTCAAGAGTTATGAGCTTTCTCACTCGCTTTGGACGATTCATTGTCACAATTGTACACTTGTATAACAAAATATTTATACAAATAACTCTATTTCCACATCAAAAGACGAAATTTCAACAATAACAGTGGTGCACTGGCTACACAATGAGACAAAGATGGCGCCTGACGCTCTTGTTGTGGGTCGCGGTACAACAATATTCATGCGCCAGGCGAAATAGTCCGGTATTCATCCGCGTTCGTTGTAGCATTCTCAATTTTATAGGTAAAACCGTTCGTTATAGGAATATTCGTAGTAGGATCCGTTCGTTATAGCATACCCCACTGTACATAGAAACATTATTCATAGCTTTCCTTAAATTAAGGGGTTTGGTGTTTGTTTTAAATTTTTACTATAATTTCCTAACTTTTTTCCAGTTGATAGCTTCACTCTTGACTTTCTCCCCCACACCACTTCCTTTCTGAAACTTCTGAGAGACTTTTGGCATGATGTCTAAGCCCAGTAGTTAGTTGACCGAAAGGTAGACCAAGAGGTAGCAGTGAACACATGCGGTGGCAGCAGGACACAGACTGAACGGATGTAAACAAACCCCACACGCCAAGCGGCGCATTTGGCGTGAAATTTAACGGAATCACGCTCAATTTAGCAAATTAGTTAGCTAAATTGAGCAAAAATAACGGAAATTTGATTTAGCGGAAAATTTGATTTAACGGAAAGGGGTGGTTCGAATTAGTTCGCTAAATCAAGAAAATACTGTACGGTATTCATAAACTTATCCCCAAAAGACAGTGACACTCACCTGTCTCACCACTCAGTACAACCACTTGATTTTCTTGGATCGTGTCGATAATTTCATCTTTCATCTTGTAAGACGGCAATCTTTTGCGAACCTTCAACATCTCTTGGTATCTTGGATTGAAGAAAATCATTATACATTAATAAATACTGTATGCCCAAAACTTAAAGATAACTAGCATCCTCAGTAACATATCTTACTACTATGGGATAACAAAATGTTCGGTATTTGAGAATTTAAAGATACATTACATTACCTACAAACACAGAAAATACAGCAAACTACAGAACACTTCATGATCTCAAGTGAACTGATTGTAAATCTTTTTCTGCTCAATGCAAAGACAAATAAGTTTCAAATTAGAAGTAACCTGACTAAAGCACATCATCATCACCAAAACATTACAAAACACACAACATGATAACAAATATATGAAACATCTAGCTGGTTTCATTCAGCCATTACCTATACACTAACTGGTTCCATCACCTGTTAACTGTACACAACACAGCACAGTGGACGGAATGTGAAATTTTCCATAACACTTACGCCTTACTATTTTGCTGTTCTAACATGTCTTCATAAAGTCTGTTGTCCATGACTTCTATCCGTGGTAGACCTATTTGTTTTCCTTTTAGAGCATGAAGACCACCAGCATCCCGCTTCTGAAATTTTGTACTGATTGTAGTTATCATTCTAACTTACAGTAACAACAGCATGCAAGAACTACTGCAAATTGTGCATCCAAACTAAGTGTCTACATCTCTAAAATTACTATGGCTAGCAATAGAAGAATACTATTAAGCAATATGAATGCAAAAGGATGAATTGAGAGTAATATTAATACTGTACAATAGCAAATAGGGGATTACAGGCAAAATGCAAAGATGTTTATTGATGTTTGTGTTGGGAAAAAATAATCTCATTGTACACTGTTTTACCAAAAGCAGTATCCAGTTTTAAGTATCAACAGATTTCCACAGCCAATCTAGGAATTTTCTAGCCCAACATAGCGGGAATGCTTGCTGGATTAAGTCAATCAAGTGGTTTGTATTGTTTGCTCTGTCATGTATATATTCCTCAAATGATACTTTGTTATCTACTACCACTCCCAGGTCCTGTTCCATCTCTAACCTCTTTAAATCAACTTGCTTTTTTTCATCTTTCATATTATACTCTATATGGCAAGCAGCCTTTACTTAACGGTTCTCTAATTTCAATATTTTTCTCACCAACGTCGGAGACTATTTCATCATCAGGAAATGTAGTAAGATTACCTACAATGAATTCAGTGTGTGTACCAAAGCAGGAATTCATTGCCCTACTATCCTTCAACTTTGCCTTCTCAGTGGAAAGTCTTATAACAAGGGAGCCAGTTCTTGTCTTCCTGTAGCTATAAACAGGAATAGACTTCAATACTCTCTCGACACTTCCAGCAACAGCAGCAACCTTAGCCATAATGCCCCTCTTTGGCTTCAGTATGAGTACCTGCTGTGTGTGGAATGTCCTATCCCTGCCCAAACACTGATCTTCACACTCACTCCTTTAGTACCATCGTGATTTCTTTTTAGCTCTTTCAGTTCCTCTTTTACAATGTTCACGAATGATTGAGGAGATTCGTGAGAGATCGAAGCATCGATTCTGTCCTCCTGTGTTTTCAGCCTCCTAGTCACACCCTGCTTAAAATTCTCCAGAATGCTTGTCATGAGTGAGACTACCTTGTTAGATATTTTAGCACAAAAACAGCAGTTAGCGAGGGAACAACCTTCTACAATGGCAGCAGAATATGAATTACGTAATCCAAGCAGCGGGGCCACCCATGCATCTGGCATGTCGGGATGGGTTGGAGAATGATGCAAAATTTTGGAATGCCCTGAAAATTTATTGCCAGACCCAGAAAATTTAAAATGTGTTTAAGATTTTCCAAAATTTTCTTGGAATTTTCAGAAAAAGCACCTGAGTTTCAACCTCGAAATTTGTTCCCAAACCTGGAATTAAGAGAATTTTCCAGAAAATTCCGAGCAAATTTTAATTTCGGCTATTGGAGAGTTCCGGGTTTGAGAGATTCCGGCTAACAGAGATACTATCACTAATTATTTTATCGTGATTACTCAAAAAAAAAACTTTTTGTAGATAATTTATGTACAATGCCATTACAAGAAATCCCACCTTTTTAACGCAAATAGCAAGCTTACTATGACTCATTACATACAATTACAGTGATATCCCCATTAGCCGGAACACTTGGTACAGAGCACTTCCAAGAATGAGAGATTTCCGGATAACGAGACGATTCCCTCAAAGCCGGAAAAAAGTCCCTCATCTCCGGAATTTTCTTGGAATTTCCGGAAAATGCACCTGATTTTCATCTCTCACACCCGGAAAAGTACTCCCCCATCCCCAGAAACTTCCAGTTATTGGGAAAATTTTCTCAGAATTTTCCGGAAAATGTGCCCCTCTGAAAATCGTACCCAAAGCCGTAATTTTCCAGAAAATTCCGCCCTTGAGAAAGATTTCCGAGAAAATTTCAATTCTGGCTATCAGAGAGTTCCAGGTTTGAGGAATTCTGACTAACGGAGATATTACTGTATCTCTCATGTGGTGCAGTCAAAGTGCGGTGAGGCTAGTAACTTGCCAGACCCCGAGGGAGAATGCCTACCCAAATCTAAGAGTGTTAAGCAGCATCCTCTCAGTTGGTTCCACTTGAAGACACAAAGTGTACTAATGATGCGCACCTGGAGAAAGTGGTGATGGGCTACCATACTTTCTAAGAATATGGGTAGGGTTGGTTGCTAGATAAACTTGCCCAATAGTGTCAGCAAATAGTTGAGCTTTACACAACAACACACCTCGAATAAACCTCATTGGTTATGATACTAGCACTAAAACCATGGTAACGGGAGTCTTACATTACTGTACCTAATATATGAACTGGTTACAGAAGAAAAGTGTTTATCAGGTGGTGAGCAAAATACATAGCATAAAGTAACATGGCCAGCTTATGTTTTATGTGGAGTAAAAGTTGTAAAACAGAGAAAGTTTGATAATCAGTTAGAAATATAATCTAATGAGGAAGCTGAGAATGATAAAGGGTACCATCAATGGTCAGAACAATGGTTAAAAACAATAAATTAGTGAAATACACAACACTTTAAAAAAACTTACCAGGTTTCCAAACACATTGGCCATATACGCTTGCTTGAAGTCGGATTCACTGATATTCTCCAGTCTCTGTGTGAAGGTGTCACCACGAGATCTCTTCTCATTGTCCTCACCTGGTATAGGTACATTAGCTGTTGTAAAAAAACTATAACATCAGATATACTGTAGATAAATGATAACATCATGAAAAATCCCAATGCCATCATAATCAACTTTCTTTTTCTTTAAATCTTGCTCGCCCTTTTCTAATGTATTACAAGAGTGTGTGTGTGTGTGTGTGTGTGTGTGTAATTCACATCTTCAGGGGTGAGTACAGACTAAGGAGAAGTACAAAACAAGGTACATATATATACAGAGGAGGGTGAGATCAAGTCCACAATGGTCAGGTATAGGTAATGACCCTACTAATCTTCAAAAAAGCACCCCAGTGGTCAGTAGTCACGTCAGAGGGTAAGCTGACCCAACCTTCTCACCTGGTTATAAATCTTCTTAATTACGAAATTATCCAATTTGTACTTACCATTACTCAAATTCATGTTGACGGGTTCGGTGTGTTTAATGAGACTAGATTCTATAATGTTCCTACTGTCAATTGAATTACAAGGTAATATTGAGGAGGCATTATCCCAGTCAGTGCAATGCTTATTATCCCTCAAATGAACAAACAGAGCATTGGATGCCTGTCCTAACACTATACAGTGGGGTATGCTATAACGAATGGATTCTACTACGAATATTCCTATAACGAACGGTTTTACCTATAAAATTGAGAATGCTATAACGAACGAAACTCCTACAACGAACATTATTTTTTTTTTTTTTTACTAATTTATTGTTATTTTATTACAAGTATTAATGATATTCTTTATTTCAGGGGTTTAGATGCATATTTATGCACTTTTTTACAATTTTATATTATATTTTTCAGTGTTAAGTGGTTGTATTTGGGGGTCTGGAACGGATTAATCCCATAACGAACGAATGCTAAAACGAACAAGGTTCTAGAACCAATTAGATTCGTTATAGCATACCCCACTGTATTTATGTTGTTTAAGTCTAGTTACAAGATCTTTACCTGTCTTGTAACTAGACTTAAACATAAATATAGTTTGATAACTAAACCCATAAACATTTATGAATGTTGCTTCCAGTTCACCTCTAATGAGTGCTACCACAGGTAACCGGAAACTGCAGCAAGGCAATCATGGAAAATGGCCACAAAACGATGATGATGAAACTGAGAAGCCATGTGAACAATACAGGTAACCCCCGAGATACAATGAGGTTATGGTGTTGAATAACATGGGGTTCAATGGGATACATTCCCAGCTAATCCCCAAATACCCTTGTATCACCAACAAAAAATTTCCTACAATTCTACTATCAGTGTAAAACAATTAAACACTCACCACATCATATTGAACAAGTCTGGTCATCATCACGTGTCCCCTTTGAGGCTAATGGGACTCTTGTAGGTGGAGTAGAGACATCACTCTGACTCTCACACAGCCTCTGAGGAGTCTCATACTGCTTAACAACGTCAAGTTTCATCTCAGAGACCCGGTTGTCTTGAATGCCTCGGCCTTCCCAGACATTTTCAAAGTTACACTGCTCACTTCAGTCACAAAAGCAGAGCAAAAGCACTTGTCACAAAAACAGAGCAAACAATGATAACAAAAACAATGACAGCAGCCAACACGCTCACATTTTCAAAACAAGAGAGTCGAAGCACCTTACAGTCATAAAAACACAGAAAATATCACGTCACAGTCACCATAACACAGTTCAATCTAAATGTTAGTACTATTCTCATACTATTTAAGAAAAAAACACTGATGATAAGTACCGTACAATGTACGATGCTGGCCGAGAATAGTGGAGCAATGCAATCGTGGGTTTAGGATTGACAAAGAACCAAGGGGAGGGCTGCAATGCACGGGTTGGCCATGTGGCGGCACGTGGGTAGGCTGACATGTGAACGTAGAGATGTGTAGTTAAATATTGTGCTTGACATAGAAGAATATAACTTGCATCGCTGGAATTCTTGCAAGAGGCGATATCGATGGCTATTTGACAGATATCATTAAAGTGAGCCGTTTTGATCGTATATTGCGAGATGGTGTTAATTTATAACCATCATTAAAGTGAAATATCGCATCTTGGAGGTTACCTGTACAAGTTTATGATCCTAATTGATAATAATAATGACAAGATAGTATCCAAACACTAAATGACTCTTCAAAGAAACTTATCAGCAAAAATTGGACTAACTATTCGTAAGATTTCTCGGCATACTTTAGTTCCTATGAACAATGTGTATAGGTTAACATAAGTCAGAATATGTGAAGTATGCACATAGACAAACTGCTTGGTAATATCACATTAAAGTGGTTGAAATTTAATATAATACCGTAGACAGGTTTTTATACAAAATAATGACCCCATGCATTAACTTTAGTACTAGTATTGCACACACCTGATGTACCTTTACGTTTTTGTTTGTTGTCTTGCATCCATGCGTACGGGTTGGAGAAATGGTCAATCTCGTCAATGTCATTATTGCTGCAGCCAGCCTCTATCTTTACCCCTAAAAGAAAATTTACAATTGTAAATATAATGAAAGAAATCTGTAACTTTGGTTTAGAGATGAAAATGACTGCACACTGCTTTGACACTTTTAAATTTATGTGAAGTTACTACAAAGTTTGGGAGGAGGTGGAAGTGATCAAGGAACAATCAAGTAACAGCCTATTTTAGTGTTACTGGTTGTGAGCAAGACCGAACAGACCCAATCCCTCTCCTCTCTTATGTTGTCATATCAGGGGCTTTCCCTCACGGAAGCCAGACACCTTATCAACCCTAATGACACAATACTTGCTAAAATCTCATTCGCATTCCTCCCCAGAATCTTAAGTAAAGGCATAGATAACTAGGGGAAAATTAAGTCCACAGGACACCTCCGCTACACCTCCTTGCTCACTCGCCCTCCTGATGGGTTGTTTGTTTGGGCTTCAGGCCTATCAACTGCCAGGGTCATTAAGGCCTTCAACATCAAGCTACATCAACCGACTGAAATATCCTTAACACATTCTTAAAGTGTTTAGGACCACATACACTATCAAGAGATGCTGCGTCACAGAATATGGTTGAGCGTGAACAGAGGAAGAGGAGTCGCTACGGGCGCGTGGGGTGACTCGTTGTGCTGCAGGAAAAGGCTCGCAAGCTAGCCACCATAGCTATCATCTGCTAACCATAAATCATCGAAATCGTGAATCGCAAACCCGCAAATGGAAAGGGTCTACTCTGTGTGTGTGTGTGTGTGTGTGTGTGTGTGTGTGTGTGTGTGTAATAATTATAATAATTAACGGTTTAATGAATAAGTTCTGCAGCCCGAAGGTTGAAAATATACATTGGAAATAAATTACTTATTACATACATTGGTGGTTTAACAAAAGCCTTCATTAGAGAAAGGTAAAGGAACATACAGTGTGTGTGTGTGTGTCCACCGCGATGCCCAAATCCCCCCTATTTACATTATTTCTTATGGGAGAAATTGCTATGCTATTCGCAATTTCGATATTCACAACGAGTTTCATAACCGTAACCTTTGCGATAGGTGAGGCAACCTGCGCACCCACCCGCCCGCCCACCCCCCACCCCCCCCCACACACACACACAAACACACACACTGAATTTACAGTGATCCCTCGGTTAATGAGCGCCTAGGTTAACGAGATTTCAGTTAACGAATTACCTTCCATAAGATTTTTAACCTCGGTTAACGAGCAATCCCTCGATTAACGAATTTCTTACGAGTACCCCTCAACACGTTTTCTCTTGCATTTGGCGGCCCACCAGCTGTAGTATTAGTCCGCCAATACAGTAATCAGTTCTAGGGCTTAAATTCCTTAATATTTTAGTAAATATCAAGAAGTTTGTACTATTCAATAATTTTAAAAGTTTTATATTAAATTTTTTAGTCATTTTAACAATTATTGAACAAAATTGAAGTATAGGAACCTAGTTTTTTGCGCGCCAAACAGCCACTCAACACACCATACAGGCGTCAGTCTCTGTGTCTTTTCAGTGGAGGTAACATCTTGCTTCAGACTCTCTTCAACATAAATGCTTTTATCTGTGTTTCCAAGCAAATTATTGGTCATTTTGAAATTTATTTTACATACAGGTAGTTCTGCTATAACGCGATAATTGTGTTCTTGTAAAATATCGTGTTATAGAAAATCGCGTAATAGAAATAACAGGGCTTATGGAGAAAATAGGGTTAGGTGCAGATTACTCGAAATCGAAAAAATTTAGTAGTTAGCCTAACACAAAGGATAGCACAGTCTAAATAAATGTTACATTCATATCTAATAATGAAATCATACAGTAAATTTAACACTTTACCTTGAAAAAATATGAATGTAACTTGATGGGGAGAAGGGTGATTTTGAGGTTGATAACATCAAGCTTCTCTTCAAGTGTTATATCCTTTCTTTTACGATAATCACCGGGAATTCTATCATCAAAATGCTTTTTGGAGATATTCTTCTTTACCATATTCACAGTTAATACCACAAAATTGGAGAAATAGTAAGCAAAAATCGCGTTATAGCAAACAAGCGATCGCGTTATACAAATATTGTTCCGAATTCATAAATCGCGTTAGAGCAAATTCGCGTTATCAAAACACGCGTTATAGCAGAACTCACTGTATTGACAATATATAATGCAGTGCATTGTTGATTTAAAGAAAATTGTCTTTAATTACACCAAGAGAACTAAAATTTTCTGGGTGAAATGGCAATTTTCGGTGAGCTGGAACCAATTACCCCAAAACCCCTTGAAACAATGTAAGTATTTATCGTGTGTGTCTGTGTGTATGCTAGCAACCTTCTAGAACGAATTGTGCTCGTTAACCGAGGGACCATTGTGTGTGTGTGTGTGTGTGTGTGTGTGTGTGTGTGTGTATATATATATGTGTATATATATGTGTGTATACAGTGACCCCTCGTTTAACGAACACCTGGGTTAACGTAATTTCGATTAACGAACTGCCTTCCATAAGGATCTTCAATTCGGTTAACGAAAAAAAATTCGCTGAACGAACTTCTTACGAACCGACCTCAACATGTTTTCGCTTGCACTGACCGGGCAACCAGCTTTAGTATCAGTCCGCCAATACATTAATCGGTTCTAGGGCTTAAATTCCTTACTATTTTTGTAAATATCAAGAAGTTTATACTATTCAATAATTTTAAAAGTTTAATATTCAATTTTTTAGTCATTTTAACAATTATTGAACAAAATTGAAGGTAAAGTGACTAGTTTAATGCGCGGCATCCAGCCTCTTAACACAGCAAACAGGCGTCAGTCTCTCTCTGTTTTCACTGGAGGTAACATCTTGCTTGAGACTCTCTTCAACTAAACGCTTTTTTTCTGTGTTTCCAAGCAAATTATTGGTCATTTTGAAATATATTTTATATTTTGACAATATATAATGCAGTGCAGCGTTGATTTAAAGAAAATAATCTTGAATTAAACCAGAGAGCTAAAATTTTATGGGTGAAATGGCACCATGGGGTGACTTCTCTTCCACCCCAATGCCTTCTCTTCTTCCTTCCCCTCCACCCCCATTCTAAATCCCATCATCATCATCATCATCCAGGAGCCTTCTACATACACACCTCAAAGTAAGTGAACTTTTTTACAATTTTTGTTGAATTTAGGAAATTTTCGGTGAGCTGGAACCAATTACACAAAAACCCATTGCAACAATGGTTTCGGTTAACGAACGTTTCATTAACTAACAACCTTCTGATATATATATATATATATATATATATATATATATATATATATATATATATATATATATATATATATATATATATATATATATATATATATATATATATATATATATATATATATATATATATATATATATATATATATATATATATATATATATATATATATATATATAAAATCAACGACCTCACCAGCTAGGACTCGAACTCTGGACCTAATGCATGGGACCAGGGTTCGAGTCCTGGCTGGTGAGGTCATTGATTATATGTTCAAAGTCCGCGTGTTATATGGACTAAAAATAAAATATATATATACAGTTTTACCCCGCTTAACGCGCTTTCACTTAACGCGTTTTCGCATATACGCGGTGCCTTGCCAAAGCTGAACTTTCACTTAACGAGGGTTTTTTCCACATATACGCGGTGAGTGTCCAAGACGCTATTTTTAGATTTGCCCCACCCGCCACCCTGCCTGACTGCCTGTTTTAGCTCATAAAATTCATACAAATTACCAGGCCAGAATATAATTTACATTGCTGGAATTCTTATAATTTGGTGATCATTTTGAATATAAACATCATATATTTTGCTTTAAACTTACAATTTTTAGATAAAAATTTTTCTCTAGGTAACTATGGTATCTTTTGTCCAAAATATATGACATTTATATTCAAAATATTCCTGGTCTTACAAGGAATCCAGCAATGTCAATTATATTATCCTAACTTTAGTTTGAGGTATTATTTATTAAAATTTAGTGGTTATCCCACACATCTCCTTGGGACGGTTGGTGGGGGGTGGGGGGGAGGGAGGGACCAACCGACCATCTGTTACCGTGTGAAGAATTATTATTTTTTTTTATTAACTGAAGATATTTGTTTTAGCTCATAAAATTCATACAAATTACCCGGTCAGAATATAATTTACATTGCTGGAATTCTTATAATTTGGTGATCATTTTGAATATAAACATCATATATTTTGCTTTAAACTTACAATTTTTAGATAAAAAATTTTTCTCTAGGTAACTATGGTATCTTTTGTCCAAAATATATGACATTTATATTCAAAATATTCCTGGTCTTACAAGGAATCCAGCAATGTCAATTATATTATCCTAACTTTAATCTGAGGTATTATTTAATACTAAATGTTAAAAACTCTGGAAGGGAGGATTGGTGGGGGGTGGGGGGGAGGGTTGGGACTGACCGCGCGGTTGGAAGAGGGGGGGAGGCAAGGTGGGGTACTTTGATTGACAGATAGTGTCGTGAAGATTATTTTTTTTTTATTAACTGAAGATATTTGTTTTAGCTCATAAAATTCATACAAATTACCCGGTCAGAATATAATTTACATTGCTGGAATTCTTATAATTTGGTGATCATTTTGAATATAAACATCATATATTTTGCTTTAAACTTACAATTTTTAGATAAAAATTTTTTCTCTAGGTAACTATGTTATCTTTTGTCCAAAATATATGACATTTATATTCAAAATATTCCTGGTCTTACAAGGAATCCAGCAATGTCAATTATATTTTCCTAACTTTAGTTTGAGGTTATCCCACACATCTCCTTGGGACGGTTGGTGGGGGGTGGGTGGGGGGAGGGAGGGACCGACCGACCATCTGTTAGCCGGCTGTGTAGTGTGAGAGGGGGAGGGAGTTGAGTCCATTATTTGAATGGACATTAACTTGGCGACTGTATTTCTCTATTTCTCTTAAGTATTAATTGTGTGCATGTACCATCATAAAATTAAGATGTTATTTTTACTACAACATAGGTATGTGCCTTCAAAAAGTGGAGTTTGGGGGTCGGGCCGGTTTCTATTGGAATTAATCCCATATGTTCTGTTGTTCACTTAACGCGGATTTCACTTAACGCGGGACCCTCTGGGTTCAATTGACCGCGTTAAGTGGGGTACAACTGTATATATATACAGTGACCCCTCGTTTAACGAACACCTCGGTTAACGTAATTTCGATTAACGAACTGCCTTCCATTAGGATCTTCAATTCGGTTAACGAAAAAAATTCGGTTAACGAAGTTCTTACGAACCGACCTCAACATGTTTTCGCTTGCACTGACCGGGCAACCAGCTTTAGTATCAGTCCGCCAATACATTAATCGGTTCTAGGGCTTAAATTCCTTACTATTTTAGTAAATATCAAAAAGTTTATACTATTCAATAATTTTAAAAGTTTAATATTCAATTTTTTAGTCATTTTAACAATTATTGAACATAATTGAAGGTAAAGTGACTAGTTTAATGTGCGGCATCCAGCCTCTTAACACAGCAAACAGGAGTTAGTCTCTCTCTGTTTTCACTGGAGGTAACATCTTGCTTGAGACTCTCTTCAACTAAACGCTTTTTTTCTGTGTTTCCAAGCAAATTAATGGTCATTTTGAAATATATTTTACATATTGACAATATATAATGCAGTGCAGTGTTGATTTAAAGAAAATAATCTTGAATTACACCAAGAGAGCTAAAATTTTATGGGTGAAATGGCGCCATGGGGTGACTTCTCTTCCACCCCAATGCCTTCTCTTCTTCCTTCTCCTCCACCCCCATTCTAAATCCCATCATCATCATCCAGGAGCCTTCTACATACACACCTCAAAGTAAGTGAACTTTTCTACCATTTTTGTAGAATTTAGGAAATTTTCGGTGAGCTGGAACCAATTACCCAAAAACCCAATGAAACAATGGTTTCGGTTAACGAACTTTATACCCCTATAATAAACACAGCTATCATCACACACCCCTCCCCACGCCCCCCCATTTGCCAGTGAGGAGCCGTGGAGGTGGTCAGTAATGCATACCGGTATCGGTATATTTACTCATAATAATATTTATCTCCTATAAATAATTGATTTAAATTTTATTTTTTTCCAAAGAATATTCAGTAAATGAGTGCATTAATTCTTGAAACTATCGACGGTTAATTACAGACGCTCAAGTGACGTCACTAGTGTTTACACTACACCAGCTGGTAATATTTGATGCCATTACTTGAAGTGAATTAGCCTTATTTTAAGTAACTAACTATAAATAAATACAAAAATTAAAAAAAAAGATCAAAACTGAGAAATAATATACTGTATGTATGTTGTGTTGTCAAAGTAAGAGGAACAATTGTGTAAGTACGTAATATTTTTTCACTCAAATCCTAATGAAACACTACTGGAGAACATTCCTTTGTCGCAAAACAGTTTATAAATTAAAGAAAATAATTACAGTGTGTTTAATATATTACAGTATATTATAAATAAATAAATAAAACAAATAATTCGGTAAATCTATTTAAAGTAAATGGAAAATAAGCAAACATGTTATTTACCAAGACGCTTCCGTCTGGCTCAGGGTGAGATGGAGGGGAGATAACAAGGCTATTTATAGCCCATCTGAAGTGGCGAGTACCCTAATGCACCATAAATAATTCATTGAACATTCATTTTTTGTACATAGTATATTCACTATATATATATATATATATATATATATATATGTTGATAATCATGAAAGAAGAACACGGTTCCCAAGCGCTGTAGATTATATCGTACTCACCCCTGAAGATGTGAATTACACGAGCGCTTAAACTTCGTTTTCTTCTTTCCTTGTTATCAGCATATACCTAGATCACGGCACCTACAGTGATTTATTTATATATATATATATATATATATATATATATATATATATATATATATATATATATATATATATATATATATATATATATATATATATATATATATATATATATATATATATATATATATATATATATATATATATTTATGTAATAAATGTATATACTGGTAATCCTTTTTTTCACTAAATCCTAATGAAACTATTACAATTAGAATACGGTGTGCTGTTGAACCACATGTTGTATAAATAGTCACACCACCGAGACGAGGGAACACTCCCAACACGCTTCAGTGGCGTCACTAGTGTTTACACTACACCAGCGGGTTAATTTGATGACATTACTTGAAGTGAATTCATTTTATTTTAAAAATCATGATGGTTGGTAATGACTACTGAGTCAGTGGGTAAGTGTCACATTTGGGGTACTGGTCTTATACAGCAAATAGAGCTCAAAAGCTACTTTTTAAATGGAAATTTGGGGGGGGCGCTTTATGCACCCCGCCGCCTTCTAGGCCGTGATATACGGTAGTCAACTCTTGAGGAAACTTGTTATCCTTAATAATATCACTCTCAGTATGCATGAAAGGCTCACGAATGTTTCTTCTTTGGAACCTAACCCATTCATATATTGAGGGATACCTGTACAGCCACTATCATAAAGGACTTACAAACTTGTGACATCAATATAGAAGTAAACACTTACCATTATCAAACTCCAGTTTTATAATGGATGAGATACGCTGGTCCCATTCCTGACTCAAGTCATCAGTATACTGTATGGCTGATCCTGCACCTTCCATCTTTGGAGCACTCCTTGCCAAGTTGTTCCCCCCATCAAAAGAGTCTAGTATACGACCCACATCTCTTAATTGGTTGTCATTCATAGAGATTGATGGTAAATTTTGCTCTTCCCTTTCCCGACGTTCACTACCTCGTCTAGCGTACCAGAGACCTTTGTAAAGAGAAATATTAATGTTGACAAGGACCTATTAGTACTTGATACACCACATGTTTTACTAGCCAATTGATAATAAACCATCACCACTACAGTATTTATATTTTTATACACATGAATCATGGATCATACATAGGTACGTATCATAGTGAAAAATCCCTGACAACAAGCCTATTTCATGTTGAATTCACCCAGAAACACTACAGTGACTGACTATCTGAGTGTGCTTTAGGGCTTCGTGGGGCAAGTTGTTATTAGGTTTTATTTACAATTTAATACTGTATTATAATATTGAATTACACAAAACAATTTCCACATGCTGCACATAAAAAAGATTGCATAACTTACCAATTTCTTTGCCCTTAAGTCCTGGTGGTCGTCCACCTCTACGACTTCCTCTTCCCCTTCCCCTTCCTTCCTCTCCACCTCCTCCCCCTTCTCCTCTGCCTTTTCCTCCTCGCCAGCCTCCTCTGCCTCTTCCTCGTCGCCAGCCTCCTCCACCTCTATCACCACTATTTTGGTAGGCTGTGCAATACAAGACAGATCATTACTATGATAGATATATTGTAATACACAATTATGCAGATAAAATATGCATCTATATACACCTATACGCACACTGTACACCATTTCTAAAATTTTCCCAAAAATGAAAAATTATTTCAGAAATCGCATTTCATTTTCAGGCTAGGATTGAATGACCGTTGCACAGAATCAACAGGCTTAGATTCATATTCTAGGATTTCCAGGACTGGGATTACATCTCAGGAACCCAACAAAAACCATCTCCCTCAATACAATCATTCCCTAAAAAGTGTGTAGCTCAGAGAAGTCAGATGCCTGTTAGCCTGAGAGACCTAAAAATCCTGAACCAGTGTGTTACCATGCATGCACTCCATGACTCAGGCAAGGTTAGGTTGTCATGATCGTGATGACGGCTAACCTAAAAACCTTAAGGATTCATATTACGCTCAAACGTCCACAAAACCTTCTGAGTCCCCCAGTGGAAACGTCCCCCGTTTTCTGTTTCCTTGATGACGTCATCGAGAGGCCGTCTTTGTCTGAAGGAAACTTTGAATATAATCCGCGGATTTCGTAGCAAGACGCTGTATGTTGGGGCCTGTTGCCATCCAACACTTTGTAATCAATTTAATTTTTGCATTTGATAGCTCAGTCAGAGCATTGTTAGTGAAGATAATAATAGAGAATGAAACTGAGTTCATGATCTCAGTTTCAACGTCAGAGTGTACAGTAAAGTAATTCATCGAAATAGAAGTAGGTGGACTCCCTGACCTATTTTGAGTGAGGGTGCCGCGGGCATTTCAACCGTTAGTAAGTGCTCGCCCCTTCACCCATACAGGTAGGTCATTCCACTCCGTGTTGTAATTCGCCCTTCTTTAAGTGATTTGACCCAATTAATAGTTGATTGTGCAAGTGTTACAGTAACGTAGTTGATTTGCTTTGAGTGAAGTAATATTTACGTCTTTAACGTCCGCTGAAACGTGATGTCGTTGTCACGGTTAGTAAGTGCTCGCCCCTTCACCCATACAGGTCCCTAACACAGCCTAGGCCATGTCTGTAGCGTGGATGTTGTATCCACTATGTCTGGAGAGATGTCCGCGGTCCAGTAGGATCAGTTATCTTCGTGAGACCTGACCGTCAGACACTTCAGACTACCTATGGCCCCCATAGCTGGCTCGTCTGACCCTAACGCTCGGCCCGCGAGGTGACCCCGGATCACCAAGCCACACACCACTACCAGCCCCCATCATTGGTGGATGAGTGTCTAACTCAGTAGGGCTATTTGTGTGGTGGGGTTATTCCACTGGGATCTTCAGAGTTCGTTGGAAAGTACCCCATGGTGGCAGGACCCCATGGCGGTTGCTTGAGTATCACTCCTGACGACTGAGTGTTGTAGTGGCAGTTGCCCCTGGTCTTATTGGTGCTAAGTTACAATAAGAGTTTATGTGTTATTGAGTATGTCCACCGAGTAGTGGTGTGAGTGTTATTGAGTATGTCCACCCAGTAGTGGTGTGAGTATGTTGAGCCTGAGGGCATAGTACCAGGTTTCGTCTGTTGGTACATATATTCTTTCTCCTATCTCCATTTTAATGTTTAAATAAATATTGTATTTGTATATTGTGTCTATTATTTACCTACAGTATCTACCGTTATTTCTTCCCTATTACTTGATACCATCATTACATATACCCACGAGCCTCCTCTCGTCACGCGACCAATGATTGTAAGTAAAATTGTTATAAGAGGCACAAGCCCTTATAAGGTACTACCAGGTAACAAGTCTCAAAGCATCTTCAGTTCCACTTTTCCTTAACAACCTAACGAAGGAGAGAGGGAATGGAGCCATTCAACATGTACCTGGTCATAACCTGGGATTTCAGGATCACTTTCTCATTTACAATTCATGCACTGAATTGGGTAACTCCTGTATGCTTAAGCCAGTTGGTACAGAAGGGTGGATAAAGGCTTAAAGCTTCACATTTAACCATGAATTTCACCAGACAAGGGTAATGTAGCAAAGTAGTTTCTTCTAAATCTGTTCTGTATCTAGAGATAAACATGTTCTGTATGTAGAGATAAACATATTAACTAATGCCTATAATGCTATTCAATGGATGAACTTCCCAAGGTTAAAGCCCTTGAGCAGTGGTGGGCAAATTGTGACCCACCAGGCTTATGAGTGTGGCTCACAAGGACATAATGTTTGACCATCGCCCACACACATAAAACAATCATACATGAAGCAGCGTCGATTTGATTACAGGTAGTTCTGCTATAACGCGATAATTGTGTTCTTGTAAAATATCGTGTTATAGAAAATCGCGTAATAGAAATAACAGGGCTTATGGAGAAAATAGGGTTAGGTGCAGATTACTCGAAATTGAAAAAATTTAGTAGTTAGCCTAACACAAAGGATAGCACAGTCTAAATAAATGTTACATTCATATCTAATAATGAAATCATACAGTAAATGTAACACTTTACTTGATGGGGGAGAAGGGTGATTTTGAGGTTGATAAAATCGAGCTTCTCTTCAAGTGTTATATCCTTTCTTTTACGATCATCACCGGGAATTCTATCACCAGAACGCTTCTTGTTGATATTCTTCTTTACTATATTCACATTATTTAAATTTTTTTTATTTTTATTTTTTTTTCTAATTTATTGTTTTTTTATTACAAATATTAATGATATTCTTTATTTCAGGGGTTTAGATGCATATTTATGCACTTTTTTAAAATTTTTACAATTTTATATTATATTTTTCAGTGTTAAGTGGTTGTATTTGGGGGCCTGGAACGGATTAATCCTATAACAAACGAATGCTATAACGAACAAGGTTCTAGAACCAATTAGATTCGTTATAGCATACCCCACTGTACCACAAAATTGGAGAAATAGTAAGCAAAAATCGCGTTATAGCAAACAAGCGTTCGCGTTATACAAATATCATTCCTAATTCACAAATCGCGTTAGAGCAAATTCGCGTTATCAAAACACGCGTTATAGCAGAACTCACTGTATTTATCAAATTTTTGGCAATTATTAAATATTTTTTACAATTTGGTGGGATTTATATTAACATAATTTTATATTAATATTTTGACTATTCACTGAATGTTTTAACTGAATTAACTTAATTCCTTAATATATTTACTCACACATAAAGTAGGCCTATATATTTTTATACTTACCTCTGATGTATTGTAAGGTAATAGTAAATAGATACTGAACACTGCCCCCACCTCTCCAATTTTGTCTTCAGGTGTTACATAATATGAGAGGCAGTGCATTGAACATACCATTTCTTGTTTCTTTTGCTTTTATTACTTGAAGTTGAGGACAATTCTATTAATAAACATTTTCTATACTGTAACTCATTATGAAACATTCACCTGTGATAATGTATTTATGACTATTCGTGGGGTCATGGTTTGTACACAGGCTAAATTTCAATCTTGTGGTCCACTGAGATGATAAGAGGGCTACTCATGTGGCTCCTTCACTGGCCTAGGTTGCCCATCACTTTTATATATAAAAATTGTTACACATCACCAATATAATATTATGTATTTTTATTTAGGTTACCACTTAAGACTTTCTCTGTTCTGTAGACCCAAGAGGGATGTGAAAATAAGTCACCATCATTTTTAATGACCCTGACAGCTGCTGGTATGTGTCTGTGGAAGGTTTACTACCAAACAACAACAGCAGACCATGTAATCGCCCATAGGAGCAATTGTGGCTGTGCAGGACAACAAGACCCTCGTCGTTGACGCGATGAGTATAATTTGGTCAAAACATGTTGAATACATTTCACATGTAACAACTTCTGATACATCAGGACACACAGTTTGAATAATATGATCAGTGTACAGTACCAGTTCATCTACGGGCACCATAGGAGGTCACACCAGCTCGTCATCCTCTGACCTGACTGGGCTTCAGCACTGTGTGAAACTTGGTACAGGTGTGAGAAGTTACCTTGTGTGCCTTAGTTATCTCAGTACCTCGGCCCTATAAACGTGGACTGTATAATTATGTACAGTCGGAAACCATATTCTCTAGCCCACCTGGGTCGGTGCTGGAGGTTAGTACAGTGTCCTTTCTGGACGGGGGCCCACACTAACTATCACGAGGCAACACACACAGTCATAGTATGGCTGTATAGATGATATTATGTATAAATGTTGTATATGGCATTTTATACTCTGCATTATCTTCATTATATATGAATACAAAGAAAAATTACCATAGGTTGTAGTTACAAAAGTATGAATGGAAATAAACACTTCCAAACCATCCAGTGACTTCACACAACCTTTACAGCGCTTGTGGCCAGACCACGATGATTCCACCACACCCCATCTATATCTTTTATTTCCCATCATTCGCGTAACTACCGTATATACTCGTGTATAGTTCGAGTTTTTAAGACCAAATTTTTAGGCAAAAAATTGGGGGTCGTCCTCTACATGGGTAATAGTTTTGTTAGGTTGAACCCGTGCATGATGGGAAGGACGAGGAGCAACTTTTAGCTTCAGACATGAAAAATACTTACCATTTACTGCCAGTAAACAATGGAAACGTAAAATATGTACCAATTAGTAATGAAAAGTTGTGCAGTTCCTTCAGCAAATGAAGCTCACCAACTTACAATAGGCTTGTAGGGGTATCGAGATATTAATGTTGTCTAGCACTCAGGATGGAAGGAAACTCTAATGTGGTTTTCTTATATAATATATATAAGTTATATGATAGACAGTCTGGTGCTGGAGATGCCGTGTGGTGGGGAGCAGCTCAGTAGAAGACGTTCGGTGAGTATCGTGTTGAAGGAGGTAGATGTGCAGGAGCTTCGTTAGAGAAGGTGTTGCCTGTTGCTGGCCTCCTGGTTGAATGAAATGTTAACAGCGTGGAGCTTGCTGGAGGAGATGTTGCTTGTTCAGGAAAATGGGCAGAATGAATCTCAATGGAGAGACAGAGCTTATATACACCCGGCAGCA